GGGGGGGGGGGGGGTAAGGGGAGGGGGGGCGGGGGGGCTGGGGGTGGGGGGGGGGAGGCGAGATAATCAAGAGCAGAAGTGAGGACGGAGTACATAGGATAAGGCAACAATATGCTTCGTACATACTACAGCAAAGACACGTCATCCTTTAGACCGCAGGCGCAGATGACAAGCGTTTCTCCTCTGCTCTCCCCTTTACACACAAGAACACTTGTAAGACTTCAATCAATTACAGCCCTTCCTTCTACAGTAGAGTTTATGGTCTCCGGCCGTACCTTCCCTACATGCCAGTTTCCCCCACAATATCTTTCTCCCTCCCGTCTTGTCGCTCACCAGAACATGTCTTCCCCAACCGCGTCCTCCCCGTGGTCGAAATCTCCGGGGGCCTTGCCGTAGCTGAACCCTACGCCCGCCGGCTGGTCTACCCAGATCACGTTGGCCCGGCTGTTCCACGAGCTGGGGTTGGGCATCGTCGTCTCGCCGTCCTCGTTCACCGTACACGGGCCTGTCATGGTTGCGGTTCGTTTTGTTTCGTTTCGTTTCGTGTCTTTACGTTACTTTTTGATACGTTACATCACCAACCGTAACACGCTTAGCATGGTCAGGTTGGGGCCTACTTGGAAAGGCGTTGCTTGGACTGGATTTGGGTGCGGTCGGGATTAATATCGTGTGGGGAGGTATAGCAGTGGACCAACATATTACGGTTAGCATGGTCAGGTTGGGGCCTACTTGGAAAGGCGTTGCTTGGACTGGATTTGGGTGCGGTCGGGATTAATATCGTGTGGGGAGGTATAGCAGTGGACCAACATGCTTGAGCTGTGTTTGGGTTGTAAATAGTGGGCACAAAAATGGTTTCATTTCTGGTTGTAACATTGTCGGCAATTGTGTATGTATGCATAGGACTCGCTTCGTTCGAGGTCCAGACCGCACAGCTAACGGCGCGGAGTCACGGCAAATCACAGCAGCAGCAGCAGCAGCAGCAGCAGGAGCAGTGTGTTCCCTGCAAAATCCAACGGGCTGGAGGGATGGAGTGGAGCCTTCTCGTGGCCTGCATGCCAAAGACTTTCAGACTGAAGCTCGATTACACACCGCTCGTGCCACCAAAGCGAACATCGGCGACGCTTGTCGCCCGAGCAGCAACGCCTGTCCTTTTCCTCTTCGTCACGCAAACCACCAACTCCAACGTGCAATTCACAATACAGCACCACACCGTCGGCGGCAAACACCATAGTCATGTGCATACGTCCCACAACAACAGTGATCTACTATCACATATCCCTCAGTACGTGTGTCTGTGCTTCCTTCATCTCCATATCCTGACCTCCACATAGCCCCCCTTTTTCTTCGCCGAAAGCTCAGCTTATCGAAGTTGGGTTTTGACGCACGTTCATGTTTGAAAATCTCATCTACTCTTGGCTCTCCTCTGCTTGCTCTTGCTTTGCAGCGTATCCCAGTTTGTACTTCATGGTTTGACAAAATCAAATGATTGGTGACCCACGTTGGCCGACGGATGGTGCCTACTCGGGCGACCCTAGTTCTTTAAAACGTTGTACCCCTCTTTCTTTTGCCAATTCTTCGTTCTTGCAATCAGTGCGGTCGTGCGTGAAGCGCTCGTTGCCAAACTTACGACCAAGAAGAGTGCGACCTTATTGGTTGCAAGCTTAGCGATGTGCGTTTCACGCACGACCGTGCTGACTGCAAAAATGAAGAGTTGGCAAAGAAAGAGGGGTACAACGTAACCAAAGACTAGGGTCGCCCGAGTAGGCACCATCCCTCGGTCAACGTGGGTCACCAATCATTGGTTGTGTCAAACCAGTAAGTACAAACTGGGATACGCTGCAAAGCAAGAGCAAGCAGAAGAGAGCCAGAGTACATGAGAGAGGGATTCAGAACGCTGCAAAAAATGGTGGACGATCTCTGGTGGGAATAACCAAAAAGCAGACAGAGAGCAGTGCTATAAAAAGACACCACGAGAACATTCTCGCGAAGGTTGTAGCAGCAAGCAGGCGCGAGGAGTTCCGAAGTCGAGTACCAGCACAACTGGTGCAGTAGCCTCTGTAGATCCAGCACTAGGGGACAGCACCCAAGTAGGGCAAGTAGCCGCCTGCTTAGCGCCGCAAGCCTTGCGCGTAGCTACCGTAGCTGGGGACTTCCGGGAAAAAACACTTCGTCGAATGCCAATATAGAGCCCCCTACTCTGGGTGAGCGGAGAGTCCGGAGTGTGGTGGCTTTTTCCTTTGGTGCCATGTGGCGAGGAATGCCAAGCGTGACCGAGCGAACTCAGCCAAGCTAGGGTGGAGCGGAGAGTGGGCGAGCCTTCGTGGACTCATTTTCCCATCCTCCAAAAGATTCACCAACCATTCGCAGCTGTTGCAAATCGCAAGAGTCATGGACCCTTGGGAAGAACAGTGATCTACTACACATATCCCTCAGATCCTGCTCTCTATGTCCGTGTGTGTGTGTGTGCTTCCTGAATCTCCGTATCCTGACCTCCACATCGGGCGTTAGCAAAAAGAGCGCGACCTTAACTAAGCCAACGCTCTCTACCCACCAAATTACATAAACATCGCACCGTTCTCGGCCAGGAGGGCCAGCGTCGAAGAGCACCCTGGGCCGCCCGTGAGCCATAGGATGAGCGGGTCTTCGCTAGGGCTATCCTGGGACTCCGCCATCCAGAAGAAGTACTCCTTGTCTGTCGCGCCCTCGTCCTGAAAACAAGACCGGGGAGCGGAAGGGGAGATGGTGGGGGGGCTATAAACGCTACAGCAGCGGCACAAAGCAAGAAGCGCCGCGCGTGTGTTCCATATGGCACGCGCACAACAGGAACGGAGGAGCGCACTTTCGGCGTTACAAGCAGCGTCGGGCTCCCTTTCATTTCAGTTTTTTTTCGGGCAAGGTTCTTCTGCGAGTCCGCTACAAAAGTGATCTGGCTCTTTGTCCACCAATACACACAGCCCGTCGGCCTTTCTTTTTGAAAACGGCGACACGCTAGACACAGATAGCGCTGGATACTACGCTACAAGATACTAGATAGCGCCGTGGTTCTCCCGGGCAACACTCTACTACATTGTACCGTACTACAGCGTACGCGAGCGAGCCCGTGGTTGTCATGTTTCCGTAGATACCTGAATCTTGTAGTATCCCGAAAGCTGCTTCACGCCTTCCTCCCCGCACAGCGCGGCGGCCACGGGTGCCGACTCCAACCTGCTATGCATATAACACCCAACACCGGGAGGGACAAGGTGTAACGTTGTCAACGTTTCCATGTGTACATTGGCATATTTAACATCTCCGCATCTCCGCATATCAACACGCCGTGTTGATTTAGAGGGACCTTTTTGCGGGAGATTGCTCGTTAACAATGACATGCGCAATTCTAACATGCAACGCTGCTCTTCTGCCGCCCTCTGCCTCTATCAGACTGCGAAAACAGACCTCGGTGGGAGTGTCGTTCCGACTGGATTATACACCCAAGCAGCTAATCCCGTTGTGAGGGTGGGCATCTTCATCGAACAAAACGCCAATGCTGCTGCTGCCTGGGCGCACAACCGCCGTACGCTACAGCACACTCGAGCAGGTAGTGTTTTACTGCTGTTGCGTAACTACTGGCTGTTGTAATACATCAAGGCATGATCAGTGAGAAAGTCACGCGGCGGGGTACACACGCGGGGTCAACCTGCCGATGCGGTTCAACATCAACGCTTGTCGAACCACCGACCCGATCACGTCTGTTGTATGAACAGCGACAAGAGTGAGGGTACATAAAACCCGAGAGATCTCTTACAGGCAGGCCCCCTCTCTCCTCTCCCTCTTTTCTCGGCCCCGGCGCGTACAGAAGTGGCGGCCAGCGTGATGGAGGAAGGTGCCCGACGAGCGGAGAAAACTTGAGAAAAAAAAACTCCTTTGTGTATGTGTCATGTGGCACCAACGGCCTTACCTCGCGGAGGAAACGCCATGCACAACGGCGAAGAAAGGGACTAGCCCTTGGAAAATGGTGTTCGTCTTCATGGTTTGTACGTGTGCAGCGAGAGAATGAATGAAATCGTGCGTGGAATGTGCTTGATCTTGGGTCACCTTACGGGGGTTCTGCAGATGCATAATGTACATACCCCGTGCTCCAAAGCATTCCCCGTACCACTTCATGATCTTTCAGAGGATTCACAGGAATATATGAGATAAAGTATAGGTAGATTTAAAAATTGGCCCGCACCCAGCATTATCCTACCGCGCCTACAGCACTTTGGCCGTCATCACGAGACACGAGACTTCTGTCTGGCCTGTGCTTCACGAGACTGCTGTGCTGTGCCACAGTGGTATCTATTGCACATGACACACATCACTTTTGCATACCCATGAGTAATCGACTACGGCCTCCATCTGCAGGTAGGTGCTGGCGGTGCGACAAGTAGCACCACCTCCGGTCCTCCTTACGGTCTCCTCGCAACGGCAACTGCCCCAGCACTAGCAACAGCACCACCAGCACTAGCAGCACCAGCACCACCACAAGCAGCACCAGCACCACCCGCACCCCCCGCACCAGCACCGCCAGCACCAGTACTAGCGGCAGCAGCAGCACCACCACCACAAGCAGCGCCAGCATCACCAGCACCAGCACCAGCACGAGCACCAGCACCAGCAGCACCCGCACGAGCACCAGCAGCACCAGCACTAGCACCAGCACCAGCAGCACCAGCACCAGCACCAGCTCCACCAGCACCAGAGCCACCAGGAGGCAGTCGCAGCGGTGCGCCTATGCCAATTCTGCATCGCCCAACGCAAGCGCATGCACTTCGGGCGGGACGATCTGCTTCATCCTTACAAGCAGCAGGCCGTGGTCCTACTTCCGGTCTCCTCCCCACGGTAGCTGCACCAGGGGCACTCGCAGCACTACCACCACCACAGGCAGCAGCAGCAGCAGCAGCAGCAGCAGCAGCAGCAGCAGCAGCAACGGCACTACTAGCACCACGATCATCAGCCCCCCTTGGAAGCAGTCGAAGTGGTGCACCTGTGCCGATTCTGCCTCGCCCAACGCAAGCGCATGCACTTCGGGCGGGACGATCTGCTTCATCCTTACAAGCAGTAGGCCGTGGTCCTACTTCCGGTCTCCTCCCCACGGTAGCTGCCCCAGAGGCATCCGTAGCACTACCACCACCACAAACAGCAGCAGTAGCACTACTAGCACCACCAGCATCAGCTCCACTTGTAGGCGGTCGAAGTGGTGCATCTGTGCCGATTCTGCCTCGCCCAACGCAAGAGTATGCACTTCGGGCGGGACAATCTGCTTCATCCTTACAAGCAGCAGCAGCAGCAGCAGCACCACCACCACCACCACCACCACCACTTGGAGGCAGGCGCGGTGGTGTAACTCTCCCAATTCTGCCTCGCCCAACGCAAGAGGGCGAAAACCCATTGCCACGGGGGCGATCTGCTTCATCCTTACGAGGCCGTGGTGCACGTTCTCCCACGTCATGGCAGAGCCGTGCTCGCCGTGCTCCGGGTCGTGTGGGGGCGAAGCAGGGCGGTAAAAGGGTTAACTTGTCGTACAACAAGCAGTGTGCGAAGTGCAACCAAAGGGAGGCCAGGAGCGATAGAAGGTATTTACTGTGCCGGAACGACCCCAACTGCCGGAAATGGATCCACAAGAAGCACTGCCGGCCCTCGTTCAACACCTTCGTGGAAGACGAGTCGAAACGGTGCTGCAAGCACCACCGGGAGACGGTGCAACTGCTGTAGGTAAGCGGTACATGCTCTTATTGCCAGCGTTAGATGTACCTTCGAACCGATGCGAGAGGTCTGAACAGGGTTTAATTAGCGCGTGCGATCGACGCCTGATGCAGCACATACAATCTACCGAATTTGTGGTATCCCTTTTCGTCGTTTACGTCCCGTACATACCAGGGTTTAGTTTTTTTGTAGCGAGTACCGTGGCGATAGGGTTTTCGTTGAGGTTCTGACGGACTCACACAGATGAACTCTCTCGGCAGATATGTCATAATGCGAACCTGTCCAATCGATTATTGGCGGCTGTTGCTATCGACACCAATCTCGGACTTCCACCTCTTGCCAAAGAAAATGTCGGTCCGGTGCGCGCTGCGGTGGTCACATCAGCAGCTATCTCTGTCATACAGCAGCACTAGCTCTTCGTCCATGCCCAATCCCACCCACGTGTAGGGCGACCTTAAAAAGTCTTAGCGGTGGGGGCTTGGCGAACTGCTGTCGCATCGCCTGCGGTGCTGCTGTGTGCGTATTCTTGGTCCACGTTTCTGTCATGACTTTTTTTGTTGATTTTTTCGCGCGGCCAGGAGTAGAGGGGTGAAAATTTAAATATCTAACGAAGGCAACCTGGGGTGAGTGGCAAGTAAGAGAAATTACGGAGAAGTCTCATCGGGGAACAAATGTTATTTGGCGTGGTCGGAATGTCAAGACAAGTCGATGTGGCTGTGCCATACTTTTTATTTGGAGTTCATGAGACGGAAGTGGTGCACCTGCACAGGCGTTGCTGCTGTCAGGGTCAAGTGTTTGAATTGTACTCACCCTCACCATCGGCGGATGCCTGTTTTCTCTGTGCTGCGTCGGATCCAGTTGTGTTGCGTGGCGCAGGAAGCAGTTAGCGCCTGGAGAGGGTCGGGCAGTCGTGCGTGGAGGTGCCGCAGGAAGACACGGGAAAGGGCGGGGACACGCAGGGCGCACCGGTGGACGAGGGGGCTCCAGTTTGACTTCGAACGTCTTGTGTTTGCCCCGTTCTCAAGGAGACACCACTTCATGATCATTTCCAACACTTTTTTCCGCACATGATTCTTTCCGCACCGGCTATGTTCACTCTCTTGCTAGCCCCTCTCCCCGTCAGTCTGTCAATCATTCACCTCGTGGGGGACATTGCTGAGGTTGTTGGTGCCGTCACCACTGGGGCCTACAGCAGCAAGCAGCACACCCGCAGGATCGAGGCGCCATGGCCAACCAACGCCGCGGCGGTGCTTTCCATGCGGAAGACTGCCATCAGTCTCTCGTCACGCACATACATGCATGTGTTCGGCGAGAGGGTATTGCTCTAGCTGCTCATGCGTGCATGCTACCCTGTTGCGAGCGAACTCAGCGTTCTCGTCTCACAGGGGCATCAGATTGTCTGCGATTGATTGTGTGTGGCGTTGTGACTACAAGCTGTCCCTCGTTTGACAGGAAGGAGTCGGTACTGTAGGATGGTCAAAGGTTGGTGTCGAGCCTTTTTCGTGATGGTACATCTAGGACGGTCGTTCGAAGCCACTCGTCGCGTTGCCGAGAGGCGAGGTGCTCCTGCAGCTGGCTCGAGACGATGTTGATTGATATCGGTGCACGAGCCGCGTAGCAATAACGTCTTCGCCCCGTCTCGCAAAAACCCAAGACGGAAGTGGGGGGGGGGAACTCGGCCTGAAGCTGGACACGCTTTATCGTCTTTGGATGAAATTTCAAAGCGTAGTATAGCGTAGCGAGTACAACGGTATAGCTTGGGCGATGACAGGAACTCTTACGCCGGGCCGCAGTCTACCCCAGATCTGGCGACAGAGACATTCCTCTCCTACAAGTACATGGATGACGCCGGTTGTCAGCACCGGGCGTGGCGATTTTTTGTCTCTCGCGGGGACCGAGGGGGAGAACATGAGACAATCGATGCCAAACAATATGCTCCACACCTCGCGTGGCACCTAATGTTCCTGTGCATGAAGGTGCCGCCCCGGGACACGGAAGGACAACAAAGAAAAACTACCGGCGCTGCTGTCGCGTGTTGTTTTTTTACGGCGGTGGGCCAGCCACCGTCCGTTCCACGGTCATGCCATGGTACGAAAGAATAGCCGTGGAACCAAACTTAAAGCGCGCGATGCAGCCAAGCGCAACGAGTACCGACCAACACTAAAAACTAAAACGTAAACGTCACGGCGGTCTGTATGCTAAGAACACTCTTTTACTTTTTATTTATACCAAGTACCAGAACTCGGGTGCCATTTCTTTGTTCGGTACCTGCAGATTCCGCTCGCGCATCACTAATGGGAGCGCGACATCCGATGCAGCTGCTTGCTGAACCCCCGCCCCCCCCCCATGCAAAACACCGTTAATACCTATCCCCGGTTCTTTAACCAGCGCGCAGGATGCACCGCAGTTCCCGCAAAATACTAACAATATGTGGCCCGTCAACCCCAACCTCCCTAGCCAAACCTGCACGCAAGACATTGCTGCTGTAACGCCGTTGTCTCGTCTTGACAATTTTGTCAGGCCGGTGCGTCGACGTCGCAAGTGCCGTCGAAGTATGCATACATGGACACAACTATTTCCTGACCTAGGTCCGTGCTTGGAGATAACAGCAGTTTCGCGTCGTTTGGAGACAGCCATCCTCTCGCTCGAGCCCCCCCCCCAAGAACCCTGCTCCTGCCTCCCTCTACCATCTGTCTACTACTCTTCACGCCAAGTCTTACCCAAAGAAAAGCCCACTATTTAATCTTGATTTCCATGTTTACCGTCTCTGTGACCTTTTTAGCGTGAATGGCCTGTGGCACCTTCATTTCTTTATTTCGCCCCTGATCTACCAAACACTCACTTCAGCAATAAAAACCAAGATGACGCAACGAGAGCAGCAAGACGTGCTTCTTCACCCACGGCAAAAATGACGAAGGTATGTATCATCTCAGAGCAATACAAACTTTCGTCTTCACCACATTCACGCAACACTATCATTCGACCGACCTTCCTCTCGTCCGTCCACGCGCCGACACCATGCTTAATAAAAAGAAAACAGCCGGCCCGAAGGGAGCGGCAGTCGATGCCCCCCCCCCCCCCCCCCCCCCCCCCCCCCCCCCCCCCCCCC